ATTTTGGGTTCATTCCGGGTGAATTGTTGGTTAATTTCAGATGAATTTTGGGTTCATTCCGGGTGAATTTGGGTTGGTTTCGGGGATAATTTTGTGTTCATTCCGGGTGAATTTGGGGCTGGTTTCGGGGATAATTTTGGGGTAATTTTGGGTTCATTCCGGGTGAATTTGGGTTGGTTTCGGGGATAATTTTGTGTTCATTCCGGGTGAATTTGGGGCTGGTTTCGGGGATAATTTTGGGGTAATTTTGTGTTCATTCCGGGTGAATTTGGGGGCGTTTCGGGGGGTCCCGAACCCTGGACCAGCAGCGTGACGTCAGCGCCGGCCCCGCCCTCGGCGTTGTGGCACCACACCCGGTAGGGGGCGCTGTCGGCGCGCGTGACGTTGGCGATGACGAGAGCGCCCCCTGGCGACTGCCGGAACCGAGGGGACCCCTCTGGGGGCGGGGCCAACAAGGGGGCGGGGTCACAAGGAGAGGGGTTAGGGAGAGGCCACGCCCACACAGGAAACCGCGGGGTGCTCCCAGTGCTCCCAGTGCTCCCAGTAACCTCCCAGTGACCCCAAACCCCAAACCAGTATAGACCAGTAACCCCAAACCCCCTCCCAGTCCCTTCCCCAGTATAAACCAGTAGCTCTAAATCCCATTTTTACCCCTCCCAGTCCCTCCCAGTTTGTCCCAGTCCCTCCCAGTAATCCCAACCCTCAAACCAGTACAAACCAGTAACCCCAAATCCCCCCCCAGTATAAACCAGTAACTCTAAATCCCCTTTTAAACCCCTCCCAGTCCTTCCCAACCCATCCCAGTCCCCTCCCAGTTCCTCCCAGTAACCCCAAACCCCAACCCAGCACAAACCAGTAACCCCAAACCCCAAACCAGTATAAACCAGTAACCCCAAAACCCAAACCAGTAACCCCAAACCTCAAACCAGCACAAACCAGTAACCCCAAACCCCCTTTTTAACCCCTCCCAGCCCGTCCCAGTCGTTCCCAGTCCGTCCCAGTTTGTCCCAGTACCGGGGCTGATGCCCCTCCCCCGCACGCTCCAGGCGCAGCCCTCGGGGGGGGGATGGGCGCGCACCGACAGCCCCAGCACGGCCTCGGAACCTTCCGGAACCAGCACGGGGGAGGGGCCCGCGCTCAGCAGGGGCGCGTCTGCACCAGTACAGACCAGTACGGACCAGTTCCACCCCAGTTCAACCCCAGCTCCATCCCAGTAACCCCCAGCGCCTTCTAAACCCATTCCCAGTATAAACCAGTATAAACCAGTTAGGTAACCCCCAATCCCCCTTTTAACCCCTCCCAGTCTCTCCCAGTATAAACCAGTGGCTCACGGCGCAGGCGCAGGACGTGGGCGGAGCTGACGGCCACGCCCAGTCCCCCGCTCCAGGCGCGGCACGTGATTGGCTGATCCTGGAGCGACAGCGCCCCCTGCAGGAGCAGCCGCGACCCCACCGTGACCCCCCCGTGGGGGGCGGGGCTGGGGGGGAGGGGCAGCCCCGGGTCCCTGTGGGGAACTGGGGTTACTGGTTTGTACTGGGAGGGACTGGGGGGACTGGGAGGGGTAAAAAGGGGATTTCGGGTTACTGGTTTATACTGGGATGGGATTGGGAGGGAACTGGGTTATAATGGGAGGGGATTGGGAGGGTTATAAAGGTTACTGGTTTATACTGGGATATACTGGGAGGGTTATAAAGGTTACTGGTTTATACTGGGATATACTGGGAGGGACTGGGAAGGAATTGGGAATTAGGAGGGAACTGGGAGGTCACTGGTTTATACTGGGAGGTCACTGGTGTTACTGGGAAGGCTGTCAGGGGTCACTGGTGTTACTGGGAGGTCACTGGTTTATACTGGGAGGTCACTGGTTTATACTGGGAGGTCACTGGTGTTACTGGGAAGGCCGTCGGGGTTACTGGTTTATACTGGGGGCTACTGGTTTATACTGGGAGGTTACTGGAGTTACTGGGAGGTCACTGGGGGGTCACTGGTTTATACTGGGGGTTACTGGTGTTACTGGGAGGTCACTGGGAGGTCACTGGTTTATACTGGTCTGTACTGGTCACTCACGGGGCGTGGCCGGGCCGGATCCAGGTGAGCTCCGGGGCCGGGTGGGCGGGGCCAGCGCGGCACGTGACGGTGAGGGCGTGGCCAGGGCGGGGCTCCCGCGGGGACACCGAGATGGAGACGGACTGGGCTGGAACTGGGAGGGACTGGGAGTGACTGGGAGGGACTGGGAGGGGACTGGGAGTGACTGGGATGGGACTGGGAGTTACTGGGAGGGGCCTGGGAGCGACTGGGAGCGTATACTGGGAGGGTTATAAAGGTTACTGGTTTATACTGGGATATACTGGGAGGGTTATAAAGGTTACTGGTTTATACTGGGATATACTGGGAGGGTTATAAAGGTTACTGGTTTATACTGGGATATACTGGGAGGGTTATAAAGGTTACTGGTTTATACTGGGATATACTGGGAGGGTTATAAAGGTTACTGGTTTATACTGGGATATACTGGGAGGGTTATAAAGGTTACTGGTTTATACTGGGATATACTGGGAGGGTTATAAAGGTTACTGGTTTATACTGGGATATACTGGGAGGGTTATAAAGGTTACTGGTTTATACTGGGATATACTGGGAGGGTTATAAAGGTTACTGGTTTATACTGGGATATACTGGGAGGGACTGGGAAGGAATTGGGAATTAGGAGGGAACTGGGAGGTCACTGGTTTATACTGGGAGGTCACTGGTGTTACTGGGAAGGCCGTCGGGGTTACTGGTCAATACTGGGGGTTACTGGTTTATACTGGGGGTTACTGGTTTATACTGGGAGGTCACTGGTGTTACTGGGAAGGCCGTCGGGGTTACTGGTCAATACTGGGGGTTACTGGTTTATACTGGGGGTCACTGGTTTATACTGGGAGGTCACTGGTGTTACTGGGAGGTCGCTGGGAGGTCACTGGTTTATACTGGTCTGTACTGGTCACTCACGGGGCGTGGCCGGGCCGGATCCAGGTGAGCTCCGGGGCCGGGTGGGCGGGGCCAGCGCGGCACGTGACGGTGAGGGCGTGGCCAGGGCGGGGCTCCCGCGGGGACACCGAGATGGAGACGGACTGGGCTGGAACTGGGAGGGACTGGGAGTGACTGGGAGGGACTGGGAGTGACTGGGAGTGACTGGGAGGGACTGGGAGTGACTGGGAGGGACTGGGAGGGGCACAATATGACCACGCCCACCTGTGGCCACACCCCCAAGGCTCCCAGTGTTCTCCCAGTATAACCCAGTATGATCCAGCTCCCTCCCAGTATAACCCAGTGTATCCTAGTTCCCCTCCCACTCCCTCCCAGCTGGGAGGGAACTGGAGGGAACTGGGATGAACTGGGATGAACTGGGATGAACTACAAAAAACTGGGAGTTACTGGGAGGGACCTGGGACAAACTGGGACGAACTGGGATGGACTGGGGGGAACTGGGAAGGGCAGCAGGTGATTTGGCCGGCACTGGTTTATACTGGGAGGCACTGGGAGCGGTTCCGGGCTGTTGGGGGCGCTCACCTTGCTCCAGGTGAGTTTGGGGGCGGGGTGTCCCCCCCGGGCGTGGCACAGCAGCCGCAGCCCCTCCCCCACCCGGAAGGTGGCGTTGGGGGGCGGGGCCTCGACCCACAGAGCCTGGGGCGGGTCTGGGGCGGGGCCAGAACGGGACACGCCCCCTTTTAGACGGACACGCCCCTTCTTAAGGGGACACGCCCCTCCTCAAAGAGATGCGCCCCTTCTTAAAGGGGCACACCCTCTTTTAGAAGGACACGCCCCTTTTAGAAGGACACGCCTCTTCTTAAAGGCACAGCGCCCCAGTCCCTCCCAGTTCATCCCAGTAACACCCAATGTGATCCCAGTTCATCCCAGTATAAACCAGTGACTCCCTTTGTGCTCCCAGCGCCCCCCAATCCGCTCCCAGTCCCTCCCAGTATGTCCCAGTTGCCTCCCAGTCCCTCCCAGTGCCCCCCAATCCCCTCTCTGTTCCCTCCCAGTTCCTCCCAGTCCCTTCCCAGTAACTCCCAGTCTCCCTTAATCTCTTCCCAGTCCCCCCCCAGTATAAACCAGTTCCTCCCAATCTCCTCCCAGTTTGTCCCAGTTCCTCCTGATCCCCTCCCAGTTCCCCCCAGTATACCCCAGCCCCCGCCATACCCCTCCCAGTCCTCCCCAATTCCCTACCAGTCCCCTCCCAGTCCCTCCCAGTCCCCCCCAATCCCTTCCCAGTATATCCCAGTCCCCGCCATACCCCTCCCAGTCCTTCCCAGTATAATCCAGTTCCCTCCCAATTCCCTCCCAGTCCATTCCAGTTTATCCCAATCCCCTCCCAGTCCTTCCCAGTATAACCCAGTCCCCTCCTAGTTCCCCCCCAATCCCCTCCCAGTTTATCCCAGTTTGCCCCAGTCCCCTTCCAGTTCACCCCTCAGACCCTCCCAGTGCCCCCCCATTCCCCTCCCAGTATAAACCAGTCCCCCCCAGTTTATCCCATTCCCCTCCTAGTCCCTCCCATTTCTCCCCAGTCCCTCCCAGTATAACCCAGTCCCCCCCAATTTCCCCCCAGTCCCTCCCAGTCCCCCCCAGTATAACCCAGTCCCCCCCAATTCCCTCCCAGTCCCTCCCAGTCCCCTCCCAATCCCTTCCCAGTGCCCCCCAGTCCCTCCCAGTTTATCCCAGTCCCTCCCAGTGCCCCAGTCTCACGGCTGACGCTCAGGGTCACTGTCACGCTCCGTGTCCCCACCCCGGGGGTCTCGGCCTCGCACACCAGGGCGGCGCCGTGGTCCTGGCCCCGCCCCCGCAGCGTCAGGTTCGAGTAGGCCCCGCCCCCCTGGCGGCACCAAGGGGTCACTCCCAGTTTGTCCCAGTCCATCCCAGTTTGTCCCAGTCCATCCCAATTTGGTCCAGTTCCCCCTCCCCAATCCCCTCCCAATGCTCCCCAGTCCCTCCCAGTATGACCCAAGCCCCTCCCAGTATATCCCAGTGCATCCCAGTTTGTCCCAGCTCCCCTCCCAGTTCCTCCCAGTTTGATTTCAGCTGTGATCCCAGTTCCTCCCAGTTGCTCCCAGTATATCCCAGGGCATCCCAGTTTTTACAAGTTACCCCCCCATCCCCTCCAAGTTCCTTCCCAGTATAAACCAGTAACATCCCAGTTTCCTCCCAGTCCCTCCCACTCCCTGCCAGTTTATCCCAATCCCCTCCCAGTCCCCCCCCAGTATATCGCAGTTTGTCCCAGTTCTCTCCCAGTCCCTCCCAGTCCCCACCCAGTCCCTCCCCGTTTGTCCCAGGCCCCCCCCGGCCCCCC